ATGTTGCAGCAGGTCTCCAGATGCAATGCAAAGTCGTCAAGAAGGCAGTCACCTACTTAGGGGTAGACTCAACAGCTGGTGCCCCTCCAGCGGCGAAGGGCGCGAGACCCAAACTTAGGGGTAGGTTGAAGGCTACGCGTAAGCGTGCCAAGAAGATAGGTAAGCGCAGCACTATAATTAAGCGAAAGCCAAAACAAGTACTCCAATGGGGTCCTGCTTGCTGGCCTGTCTCCTGCGTCGTCGTACGGCTCTGAGGTCCCGGGGTTTGCAGGTGCTGCGTTCGCGGCAGTACGCAGCACCCAGTCGATGCGGCAGGCGCCCATGCACGGGGGCACTTCAGCAAGTGCCAAGTGAGTCCTCTTTGAAGAGTGGGATGTCCGTGCAGCTTTGGGCCCTGTCTTGCCATCGAATAGGATGGTGTGGATCTCCTACATAGCGCCCGAGAGAGCCCTTATAAGTTACCCTGCCCTCGTCTCTCAGCGGCATCAGGCTGATGCGAGCAGCGTCGTTGACTGGAAAGGTAGTCGAGGCCCGCTCAGCAGAGTTGGCTTGTGTCTTAGGAAGGCAGGATGGTCGGCCCCCGAGGCTTGTTCTTGGATAGATCACCATCGTAATCGCACCGATATCAGTTTAGTGTCTCCACGAATGCTGCAAGAGTGGTTGGAAGCTGGCCTTCAGAGGCAGGCTGAGTTGGCCTTGGGCCGTAAACTTGGTTTTCCCCCTGGGCATCGCGCCACCTTGGACGTGGTCAGGGACAATATGGTTCCCCGTGTTAAAAGTTTCACTCGGCAGCAGCAGCCTTTACGTACGCGTGCTGCATGTGATGCCAGTTTGACCGAGCAGAGGGCCAAGGACGCGGGGTATCTTAGTTGTGGTCGTTGCGAGTGTGGACAGATAGACACCCCGCATCATCGCATCTATACTTGCACACGGCCTGACGTGCAGGCTGCTCGTGACTTGGCGTGTGAAGATATCCCGATTGAGTCACTGCAGGGAGCCTTTCAGAGTGATGATTGTCTGCGCACTCGAGGCATCTTTGTGTATGAAGATGCTGAGCTCGCCCCCCCATCTCTCAGCTTTACTTGTGAGATTTTTTACGGGCAGGGGTGTGAGCTCGACCGTCAACCCGAGGATCTGGCCGCCCTAGTTCCGCCAGGACAGCCGCTGGATATTGCGGCCGATGGCTCGGCCACCAAGCAGCTGCTCAGGCCGCTCCGACGCGCGGCTTGGTCGATCGCGATTATTTCGCCGAGCTCGTCGGACGTGCAAGCGGTGCTTCGAGGAGTTGTTCCGGGCTCCCTCCCCCAAAGCCCTGCTGTTTCGGGGCATGTTGCTGCTGCACTGTCCGGCCAGATAGCTGACCGTCCCGCTAAGCTTGGACTAGATTGCCTCGGTGTCATTGAGCACATCCAGAGACCCGTGTCATAGCAGCTGGAGGCCCAGAATCAGTTTTCTGGCATTCGGGAGTTCGTTTGTGAGCTTGATGGTTATAATTTTTTGGAGGCCTTTCAGGTTAAAGCCCACCGTTCTAATGAAGATTTGAATCAGCTCGTAGGTGATGAGTATCGCTTCGGCCAGGCCAACAAGATTGCGGCGAAGCTGGCCCTGGCTCGTCATCCTACCCCAACGCCTGCTTTCTTACAGTCTGTTGATTTCTGCACCAAGATACATGCAGGTCGTAAATATGACTGGTTTGTCTCGCGACAGCCCCCGCTCGTGATTTTCACGTCGCACGTTGACGACGCAGGCATCCAGATCTCTGCTTCTGACCCACAGAGAGCACTGGATCTAGCGGTGGCGGCGGGAAAAGAATTTCCAGATTGCCATCCAGAAGATCGGTGCAACGCTGAATGATAAGATTGCGGTAGTTGCGTCTTCTGTGGGTCTAGCCAACGATGTTGCAGCAGGTCTCCAGATGCAATGCAAAGTCGTCAAGAAGGCAGTCACCTACTTAGGGGTAGACTCAACAGCTGGTGCCCCTCCAGCGGCGAAGGGCGCGAGACCCAAACTTAAGGGTAGGTTGAAGGCTACGCGTAAGCGTGCCAAGAAGATAGGTAAGCGCAGCACTATAATTAAGCGAAAGCCAAAACAAGTACTCCAATGGGGTCCTGCTTGCTGGCCTGTCTCCTGCGTCGTCGTACGGCTCTGAGGTCCCGGGGTTTGCGGGTGCTGCGTTCGCGGCAGTACGCAGCACCCAGTCGATGCGGCAGGCGCCCATGCACGGGGGCACTTCAGCAAGTGCCAAGTGAGTCCTCTTTGAAGAGTGGGATGTCCGTGCAGCTTTGGGCCCTGTCTTGCCATCGAATAGGATGGTGAGGATCTCCAACATAGCGCCCGAGAGAGCCCTTATAAGTTACCCTGCCCTCGTCTCTCAGCGGCATCAGGCTGATGCGAGCAGCGTCGTTGACTGGAAAGGTAGTCGAGGCCCGCTCAGCAGAGTTGGCTTGTGTCTTAGGAAGGCAGGATGGTCGGCCCCCGAGGCTTGTTCTTGGATAGATCACCATCGTAATCGCACCGATATCAGTTTAGTGTCTCCACGAATGCTGCAAGAGTGGTTGGAAGCTGGCCTTCAGAGGCAGGCTGAGTTGGCCTTGGGCCGTAAACTTGGTTTTCCCCCTGGGCATCGCGCCACCTTGGACGTGGTCAGGGACAATATGGTTCCCCGTGTTAAAAGTTTCACTCGGCAGCAGCAGCCTTTACGTACGTGTGCTGCATGTGATGCCAGTTTGACCGAGCAGAGGGCCAAGGACGCGGGGTATCTTAGTTGTGGTCGTTGCGAGTGTGGACAGATAGACACCCCGCATCATCGCATCTATACTTGCACACGGCCTGACGTGCAGGCTGCTCGTGACTTGGCGTGTGAAGATATCCCGATTGAGTCACTGCAGGGAGCCTTTCAGAGTGATGATTGTCTGCGCACTCGAGGCATCTTTGTGTATGAAGATGCTGAGCTCGCCCCCCCATCTCTCAGCTTTACTTGTGAGATTTTTTACGGGCAGGGGTGTGAGCTCGACCGTCAACCCGAGGATCTGGCCGCCCTAGTTCCGCCAGGACAGCCGCTGGATATTGCGGCCGATGGCTCGGCCACCAAGCAGCTGCTCAGGCCGCTCCGACGCGCGGCTTGGTCGATCGCGATTATTTCGCCGAGCTCGTCGGACGTGCAAGCGGTGCTTCGAGGAGTTGTTCCGGGCTCCCTCCCCCAGAGCCCTGCTGTTTCGGGGCATGTTGCTGCTGCGCTGTCCGGCCAGATAGCTGACCGTCCCGCTAAGCTTGGACTAGATTGCCTCGGTGTCATTGAGCACATCCAGAGACCCGTGTCATAGCAGCTGGAGGCCCAGAATCAGTTTTCTGGCACTCGGGAGTTCGTTTGTGAGCTTGATGGTTATAGTTTTTTGGAGGCCTTTCAGGTTAAAGCCCACCGTTCTAATGAAGATTTGAATCAGCTCGTAGGTGATGAGTATCGCTTCGGCCAGGCCAACAAGATTGCGGCGAAGCTGGCCCTGGCTCGTCATCCTACCCCAACGCCTGCTTTCTTACAGTCTGTTGAGGAGGCCGAAATGCGTGCTAGGATAATTGTGAAACTGGCCAGTGCGACCCCCCTTCTCTTTCGACATGAGATGAAGTGGCGTCGTACTGCCCCGACGAGCCAACAGCGGTCCCGAGCCAAGCGGAGTTGGCACCTGTGGCGATTCACCGAACTCGGGATCCAGTGTGCTCACTGCCTAAGTATTCGTACGTCGTCTGATCGATCAGCCGATGGCTGTCAAGGAACGCCGTCTGCAATTTTGAAGTTGCTCGCGGATCCCAAGGGCCATTCTCTCGTCACTGTGTCGGGAACGGCTCTTACTACTGTGTTTGGTGCGTCCTCGGGTCCTGTCGCGGTCTCTGGACGTACTGATGTGAAAGAGCAACAGTTCTTATGTTTCAACTGTGGTGGCTGGACGCAGGGGAGGATGATAAAGCTCGCTAAGACTTGTGAAGCACCGACTTCTAAGGGACTAGAGGTGTTGAGCGCGTTTCGTCGGGGATTAGGGCCTAACCCCAGGTTGAGGGAGCGTTTGGACAAGGCCATCCCAATTCCCCGACTTGATGCGACCCTCGCCAGTCCCAAAGAGGTGCAGTCTGTGTCGTCCGCCCCCAGAGGTATCTCCTCTAACGACGCCGCCCCACAGTATGAGCAGACAATTGCAGCCCTTCTCGCTAGAGCAAAGGCCAATACAGCCAATTCTCAGTCGATGGCATAACTGTAGTAACCTTGCCAGTCCTTGGTGTGTTCACCGTCCGACCTTCCTCAAGGCGCTGTCTATTATAATCCTCGTTCCTCCTCCTCCGCCTCCATTTTCTCACCCGCCTCCTCCTCTTCCTCATCCTCTTCCTCCTCCCCGGTTCGCCGCCGAGAGGACCAGGGGCAACTGCGTGTATAGTCGATGCTACCCAGCCGCTCACGCCTTAGGCGTGTGGTCGGCGGTCCTCACAAGGTCTGCGTGTTGTGCTTGTGGCTTGGGCCCTTGTCCAGGTGTAGTTCGTTCCCCTTGGTTCGAGCGTGCCTGTGAGGGGCCACCCTGCGTCGGGTCTCTGGGCCAAGCCTCGCGCTCGCGCCTTGGCACACCCGTCGCCCTTGCGTTCGCTGGTGCAGAGATGGTCTTGCCTCTCTGTTCGGCATCACTCGGTTTTTTCTCGTGCACTGTTGGCGTGTCCGCCAGACAGCGAGCCACGGCTTCTCAACAGTGGACAAGTCTTGCCCAGTTGGCGGGGGCCCTGTTGTTGGCATCTGAGCCGACGGTCGATCCGTGCGGGGAAGGGGCCATAGTGGGACCTCCGAGAGGAACTCGCGAAGACCCCTCCCCATAGCGGTTCCCGCCGAGGCGAAAACGCCTATTTTTGCCTCTTGGCGCTCGCCCTGCCTCGAGGTTACATGTGGGCTGCAACCTGCGCTGCTGCAAATCCTCCTCGGTTCGCCTACGGTCCCAGGGGACACCGTGCACTCGCGCCCCCGCGAGGCCATCCGGCTGGCCGACAACATGCACAGCTCGAACTCGGAGGAGCCGCCTCTACAGGGGGGCGCTCGGGCAAGCGGCGGATCGGGAGGGGACCAGGAGGAGGTGCATTTTCGCAGCAGGAGAAGAATAATGGGGGAACGAATAATAACATACACATGAAAACTCCGAAAGTCCTCGCGGATTTGGTGGATCCGCGCTGGACCCCCCTCCCTGGCGCGCGGAGCGCGCCAGGTGGAACGCCAGAGGCGCAGCCAGGGGGGCCCAGCGCGGATCCGAGAAATCCGCGCGGACCTCCGAGTTGTTATGTTTGTGTCAATTTTCGCTTTCCTAAAGAAGGAGGACGACGATGCCGATGACGGTGCCAACGTCGAGGGCGATGGAAATGGTGGTGGTGATGATTATCATGAGGGTGGTGAGGGGGCGGAGGAGAGGGAGTAACAAAAAGAGCACATGGACGAGGAAGAGGGGGAGGACGAGAATGAGGAGGAGGGGGGGAAGGAATAATTGGGTGGAAGAGGAGGAGGAGGAGCAGGACGACGACCTCTGAATCCTTCCTGCGACCTACTTCTTACCTGGGGTAGTGGTGGTGGAAAATCGGTTCATCAATCACCTCCCCCTTGTCGGCCCCTCTCCATGTTTTTTCGTTTGCATCTGGCCCAGCCGCCGCCCAGAGGCCGCCCGCCGCCCACCTGGTTCCCACTCCCCCTCCCCCCCCCCTTTTTCCTCCCACTGTCTTCTCACAGTCCTCCTTCCGCCTTATCCGTCTTTCTCCTCCCTCTCTTTTTCAATGGAGCGCTTCTCAGCTTTCAGAATGACTGGGGGTGGGGGCTGAAACTCCCCCCCCCGCCTGCTCACCAGAACCTCCGTGGGAGGGTCTGAAGCTCCCGCCTTTGCGTGTGTGCGTGTGTGTGCGGAAGCTGAAGTCTCTACCTTCGCCGCCCGCGCACCGGGCACCAACGGGCCCCCGGCACTCCCACAGGGGAGGTGCTGAAGCTGAAGCCCTTTTGCCCCTTCCGTCGCCCGGGCACCCCCGTGAGGTGGGGGGCGCTGAAGCTGAAGCCTCATCCACCCGACGCCATGAAAACGCTGGGGAGGGCGGTGAAGCTGAACCCCTTCCATGTCACCGTGGGCGTACTCGCAAACGCCTGAAAAACACGTGTTTGCTTCGATGCAATGTATCGTAGATCCAACGCGGCGGATCCAGGCGATTTGCGAGTAGATAATTTGCGAGTAGTAGAACGCGCTTGTCTTCCATCGGAAGTTCAGCGGAACGGGGGAATCAGCTTCGAGCCTGTCCCCTCGACCCGCGTCCCGCTGCTAGTGTGATCTGGCGGGTGGGTCCTGATGGCTGTTGGTTGCCCGGAGATGATTCGGACCATCTGGTCGATGAGTAGATTCCGGTAGAGTTGGAATTGTGCGAGTAGATTGACCGAACCCATCACCCCTTGCGTACATATGCTATGTTGCATGTCGGTTGTCGCCCCACTCGGAAACGCGTGAGCGTCAAGCGGTCGTTGCCATAATTTTGGAAGCTGTGTTTCGGCGCGCGGTCCTGTCAAGGGGCCCAAGAGAACTCAAAGAGGACTCAAGAGGACATGGCCGCGGCGATCAGCGGGCGGTGCCACTGCTGCCTCTGCCCTCAACTGTCTCAGCCACGTCGCCGTCAGACTGCCGCGCGCCTCGTGCCTCTCATCAGTCATCAGCCGCGTCACTCCTGGCTCCCAGGCGGCCATGAGTCACGAAACATGGCCGAACTGGCTGCTAGACTCGTTCATCACGCGTCCCTTGTCAGATAGGGACCACTACAGAAACCTCAAGACGATTTTCGAGAAGGACCGAGGGGGACATGCACACATATATGAGTAAACGATATACAGGAGGGGATGGGGATGATGCGCGCAAGTGGATGGGGGGGAAAGGGGGGGAGATGAGGATAATAGGCTGCCGAGAGGAAGCCAACACCCTCGCGTTGGCTATACATGCGGTATGCGCGCGCTGGCAGATACGCGCAGAAAATTCAGACGTGGATATCGTGATCGCACGCCACTTCAAGAAAGCCAGCCGGCATTATTCCTCCTTCTCCAATTCTTCGTTCTCCTCCTTTCCCGTATCCTCTATCGCCGCTATTCACCTTCTCCCCCGTCGTTTTCATGGCATATTGGGGCCCTGATGGCTTGCATCCGCTGGAAGAATGAGGGGGAGGATGGCGAGGAGGAGGCGGTGGATGAAGGGGGGATGGCGAGAGGAAGAAAACTATGATGAGGAGGAAGAGGAGGATGGCGAGGAGAGGGAGGTCAAGACGCAGCCTACAGCCTGATCGTGAAATGACATGCGAAGCAACGCAATTACTCCGATGGCAACGCATCGAACATCCGCAGATGCGAAGCTCGACCGGTGGCGCCCCTGGGCAATCCAGCCCCACGGAGCAACCGTCGGCGAAAATTCAGACTCGAAGGAAAACGATCCTGTCCCCTGATGCGCTGACAGCCGTGGAGGCTACAGTACATGGACAAGGACTCATTGGCTACCCCAGGGTTCACTATCGAGATCCGGCCCCATCGGCCGCCAGGATCACGGGGGTTGAAATAATGCGTGACTGTGTCCGAACAAGAGCACGACCCTAGCAAGCGATGCCGCACAATACACCCTGACCCTGCTCTTTGTCACGTGCCACATCACCCATGGCCCCCCTGCCCCAGCGATCACCACCAGGACCCTGGACTCGTGGACCAGAACGGGCCCCCCGAACGCCAATAGAGGAGGCCCACCCAAACCCCCAAGCACATGGCCCACGGTTTGATCATGCGCCATGGACGCATGGGCCATATAAGCCTTGGGGGCCATGGCCCATGGCACGAGACAGCCACGACAGGGCTTCGAGAATCCCTGACTCTCGAATCGGCGCGATTGGCGCCATCGCTGGCCTTGGAAGGTCATCAAGGACAGGACCAGAACATGGGGCGGGTGGGGCGGGCGGTTCGTCGGGTGAATAAATTGGATCGCCGTCTGGATCTCCTGTTGCGTCTACCCAAGCATCTTGCCACTCGCCCCCAGCTTCTATATACCCATCTACATCTACATCATCGACCTCGCCTGCGACATGCTCCTCGTTGTGCGCCTGATCGATTGGTTCCGACACCTTCCCTTTACCCGATACTTTAGCTCTAGTTGCAGCCTGTTTTCTCCGAGCGGCTGCCACCATCCGTTGACCAGCGCCAGCTCGTCCTCCACCGTGGCGTCCTTCACGAGCTCCTGGAGCTGGCCTGCAGACGCGAGGGGCGATCAGCAAGAGACGCAGGGGGAGGTGGGCTCCGACACGCACAATGCGATATAGCGAAGCAGAGCAGCGAGGAGCATGAGGAGGAATCGTGAAACGGCTCGGGCAAACTGGTACACTTCCCTAGATTTCGACGCCCCATGTCGTGCGTTCTGCTGTCTATCAATTCCGATTCCTCCTCAAGCTCCTCACGTTCCCTTGCTCCTCGAAGTCCTCTGTCCGTCTCTCGACCCCCATGCTCCCCCCCTCCTCCATCTCGTCGGCCACGCTTCTCCGACCTCCCCCGTGCAGCCGACAATCGAAGCACTGCACGCATCTACCCCTCTCACAAGAGCAAGGTCGCCTTCCACGTCATCGATCTCGGCCACCTTCAGCTGGAGCAAGCCGATGAACTCATGAGCCACCCTGCGCGTGGTGGTTGCAGGCCCGTGAAGCTCTGTCATCCGCGCCGAAATGTCTGCCGATGCGTGCACAGCTGACTCGATAACCGCTTTCACATCAAGAATTGACCCTGGCTTCAGGGGGCCGTTATCCGGAGGCCCGTTGCCGTCCCAGAAGACTTGTTGGACATCTCCTGCCCCCTGCAAGCACAGTGACATCAACAAGATCCGCCATGTGATCACATCACGCGAAGGGCCTGCGACATCAGGATAGCGAATCTCAGATAACGGAATTGCTTCAACGAAATGCAATGAACATTTGGGCAAGTTATTAAGAGCCCAGAGCATGAATTTGCAATATGTAAACTTCTGGAGATCGTCGGGCCCGAAGTTTGACCTGCAAAGACCAAACCCGAACTATTCGACACTGCCAGCAGGTCGGCACCGTGGCGCCTTCTCTATCTGGAACGACCCCGCCAACGCGAGACCGCCATTGAGAAGATGCCCTGCAGACGTTGTCGATCGCGGTCTGGATGTTGGCTTCGGACATTGGATGAAGAGAATCTCCTGCGCCCCACGGTGTCAGCTCCGACCAACCTACTTGTTCCTCAGGGCCATCAGCACTGCAACAGAACTGATTTCGTTCTTCTCGTGATAACGCGGCCCATCTTACTCCGAGTTCCGCTAAACTCGATCCTGGCTCGTTCTTGCGTTTCACATACGCCTGCCAACCAGCGGTGTCTCTTTCCAATCTTCTCTTGCGCGCGCCACCCTCGACGACTTCTTGCGTGGCGATTCCGCGCCAGGCCTGCGACTCTGCCAGAACGTGTTTGTGCGCCACTGTAGTGTGCAACACCTTTGTGCCAGAATTCTGAGTCTTGGCATCGCTCGGACGTGTGCATTTTTTCCTCGGTGGGGACCATGGAGGAGCATCCTTGATCATTTGGCGAACAAGCCACGCACGAAACCGAACAAAGCACAGGGAATGGACGTCCGAGCGATGGCGAGGAGTGCACCTGCTCTGCCTTGCGAATCTGTCCTCGTTGCGGATGTCTGACATTCGCGCACGCCGAATCCAGCCGCGCAGAGCCATGCGATGCCATCACTGCGCAGAACGTCGTCCGCTGTCTCACTAACAACGTCTCTGAGCGGGGCGGCGAAACCTGGCTCCAAATGATCACTGTCGCGCTTACAGAAATCGTTCCGAACCTGCAAACGACTTGGCAACAAGGTTCGTTCTCATCGAATGCCGAGACCAATCTCCACGGCCGCATACGAAATTCGTAGATACAGCGAAGCCGAAGACCAGCCAATACGTTCAGAGATTCGGTTCCAGCAACAGAGAATTCCCTCTCGTCCCATCCTGAGAATCCCGAGACTGGATA